TGTTTTTAGTCGCATCAGTCTTCATTTTTAGTCGTATCAGTCGACATCATTTCTCTATCGTTCACATGCATTCTCTTTTTCTCGTTTCTCCAAATATGTACTTCGAAAATCCTAATATATCCAACAGTTTTTGCGAAAGCCAGACTATTTTGGACAATATGGAAAGATTGCCAAGATTGTACTGAATCGGAGTCAAGCGACAGCAGCAGATCCGAGACGAGCGAGTGCATCAGCGTATGTCACCTTCACTTACAAGGTATGTACTTGTTTCTTCACAGAAGGAGGATGGTAGTGGAGAAGGTTTGGGCGGAGACGGTTCGGACAGGTGAGAGTCGACTAGCACCATTGCCGAGGGGTAGTTGGCCCGCTGAGCTGGGGCAGGTGAGTTGCCGACAACCGCTTCTGTAGGAGGGTGGTCTGAATTAGATGGTGCCGAAAAGTCAGGAGCCGACTCAACGGACTCCGACCCATCATTGTCAGACCAATAAGCGAACTCGCTGTTGACTGGTTTATTGGTGGGGCTGATTACCGATGGACCTGTTGTGTCCACCATCACTGCATCCTCCTTATCAGGGGCAATAGAGTCGCGAACTGGTTTTGGGGTGGCCTCTGGAAAAAACCCTCGTGCAGGAGAGTGAGGGTCGATGGGAGCCGGTTTCATTGCAGTTGATGGGTCCAGATCGCGCTCACGTTTCCGGCCCTTGGCTGCTGAGCGACGCTCAGATAATTCCGTTACCACCGTTGTCGTTTCGGGGTCTGTCCACGGGTGCCCTAGGAGTTCAACCGCAATGGCCCATACTTTGGCCAGAGGGCGTAATTCCAATAGTAAGCGGGGCTCAACCTCCAAAGTAAAATCCCAATACCGATTAAAAAATGTAGTGTTCTCCAACGGCTCGTCCAAAGGAAAAATCACCAAAGGATCCTGGACCGCCAGACCGAGAATTAATCCTCGTATATATACCACTAGTTCACGATCGTTCCCAATAAATTCGTCCTTGATGTCTTGGTCAAGAGCCGCTCGAATGCGTTGCTCGACCAAGTTCCAATCCCCATCACAAATCTGTAGGAGTTTTTTGGCAGCCACCTCCCAGGATTCAGTCGCCGGAGGATTGACGAAGTTTTTCGAATACCCTTCACACCAAGGCCAGTGGAAATTGGGCTCGTTCTCCCATGCCGAGAACAGCTCATTTCCAAAGACTACTTCTTTTTTATTGTTGCGTCGGCCACGAGCACAGGGACACGCCTCGGATTGTAGTGAAACCAAAGTGTGACGGGAGACAGACATACTTTTCCTCCCCCCTCAGCACGGAGACATCAAATTCAAGCTCCACTTTGTTCCATTGAATTCCTCCATCATTTACGGGTACATAGAATTATTTAGGGGGCAAAACATTGTTTTATTTCTCCGAAACAGTGGAGTTATAATTAACGGCAAGCCTTTTGTCGTAAATTTTGTCGTAAATTTTGTCGTAACTTACGACAAGCTACGACAAATTACGACAAACCTAC